AAATGCCAGCGTATGCTCACCTTCATTATCACATCAGGAGGTATACAATGGGCTAGAAGCTCATAAAGTTTTGTCCGGACGTCCAGTATTCTAAAAAAAGATAAAACATTAGTTCAGTCTCTAAATCTAGCACCACTAGCACAGTCGGTCAGAAACAGCAGGCTGTGTATAATAAACAAGACGGGGCAACGGAAGTTAGACTGTTCTTTTCTGATATAAATGTGAGTAATGTAGTCTGTAACCGTGGTCCCCATCTGGCAAATACGACCACAAGATGCTAAGAGCGTCGTAACTACGTCATAGAATGACGCGTTTCTAGTCCTCTGGACGTGTGCCTATTCAAATCTGTGTCCGAAAGGGCACACGGCCTAAAAAGAAAGTTGATTGGGCGGACGTTCCACCTAGTTGGGAGACTAATTCTCGATAGAGAAGCGTTACATCCAAGGAAAGACGGAATACTGTTAACATTCTCGGTCTCAGCTGATGTACTTTTGTGTCAAGTGAACTTTTCGAGAAGCAGCGACATAAAAGTGGGTAGTTAGAGTGCCATTATGACTACTTTTTTGGAAACAAGAGACAGGATTCTAGATGTTCATCAGTTGATGTAGCGGTGTAAACAAGTCCTGTCATTACTGAAAATAGACCTAAATTTATGCTGCTGGTGAATCTACCTGCGTGGGCTCTGTTCGCCGAGGATAGCCGCCGCAGTTTCTGCAATGAAAGTCTGCCATTCAGGAAGAGGGATTGTTTGATCCGGTTGCATTGGATAGTGCTGTACCCGGGCAACCTCAGCCAGGAGTAATGACCTGCGTAGGTTGCGATCAGATGCTATGGCAATACGGGTAGCGAGTTCAGAAGGGATCCTAAGGCCCTCACGCTTGGCTACAGAAGACAGAATGGAGGCTATTTCTTCGATCGTTGGTGCAGGAACTCTGACGGAGAGACATCTTGAACGAGCCGCCGGAATAATCTAGGAGAATAGTAAGGTTTGAATCTCTAAAACCACAGGCGCCGGAAAAGGGCCACGTCTAGGTCCCCGCAAAACTAGAGAACAACAGTGTCGTGAAAGGAAAACTAGGAAAGAGGGTTCAGAACCTTGGTCCAGAGACGCGAGTAATTACACGAACAAATGCCCACTGAGACAATAAACTACTGTGAACTAATGATAAGCCGTCGACAATTTTGCAGACGACGAAGTCAGAAAGACCACTTGAAATCCTAAATCTATATTCGGACATTTGTTTGCTTGACAACGGAAATGCTTATCCGGTTACCTTTTGCATTCCAACAGCGTCTTCCGCTGAAGTCTGCGAGTGTGAGAAACTTACTCAAAGTTAGCCGGTCAAAAGCGCAACACGCAAGCCGCACATAGTGAGGCCTTCGGTGCTGCCGGAAGGAGGCAAGATACGGCGAGATTACGTACAGGAAAATCCTATTTCCAAGTAGACGGGATAAGCCAAGTCATGATTTCGTCGTGCTCTAAAATGCAGCTGAGACGG